CAAAAACCCCCCCCCCCCCAAAAAAAAAGAGAATGGAAGAGAGGGGATTGCAGCATGGCCATCCCTGCTGGGGGGTGATTTCTCACTTTTTCCACCAAGTCCACATGTCCTATGGGGGAACTGTTAGATATTTTGGGGAACTGTTGCCACGCCCTGAAGTGAAGCCCAATGTTTAATTCATTTGAGTTTCATCATGCCCCATAAACTCAGTCACCTTAACTTATTCATTACTTCTGCCTCGGATGGTGGCTGGCTTTTGGTCTAAAGGGACTGAGGATTTCTGAGCAGAGATTATGATGAGCCTAATGGTAATGGCCCTACTCTGGTGTATTGTGCAGTTTTGCAGCGAAACCACTGTGAGGTGCGGTCACTGTGGTCTCTCTGTCCTCTGTGCTTCACTGTCATGTCCCCATGCCACTCACGACATCACCATGGTGTGCTGTGGACAGTTGAAATGTATTTGTTGTCCTGGCCTCCTCCCTCAAATTCACACGTGGAGATCAGACACTGTGACTGAGTATTCCCAAACCCAGCAGCATAGTTATGGATAAGAAGGGACCTGTCTGTGGAGCTGAACCACTCTGCTGGAAGGAAACATGGTCCTATCTCCAGCATCACATATGTGTTCCCAGCTCACACTGCAACTGTCTAAAGGAAGGCCCATCTCTTCTTCCTCACTGGCTGGGACCTACCTGTGTGAGTGAGCATCAGTCTACAGCACACTCCTACTGCATTGGACTTCATGGGATAGGTAAGACAGAGTATTCATTGCATTTATTTGTTCTATCTCTACAGAAGAAACATTTCAAAATGTGTACAAAAGGATACTCTATTTGTTCAGTGATACATCCCTTGTTCACAGCTAAACAGAAATAACTTAACATCATCACAGAGGCAGGTTGGAAATACGACTGCATTTTCTCATTTACAATCCTGTGCATGTATTTGCCAGAAGGGCAGTTGAAGATCTAAAGCTGTATTGGATACAAACAGGTTCAACTTTAACAATCTCCACACACATTATAAAAAAGTGTATTAGAAAGTATTGGAAATAATATTGCATATTAATATCTGGTTATACATGTTCACAGTGAGTGCTGTCTGCACCAAAAGTATATGTGCTTTTTCTTTTTGATACCTGTACATTGTAAATAAATCTCATTTTGGTTAATTTTAAAGTAAAATACACTGAAATGAACAAGAGTCATCTGGATTTTAAATAGACTTGACTCTTCATAGAACTTAGGAAGTGAAGGACACAGGTATACATTTGTGTCATGATCTGTCTACATAAATCCAATTCATCTTGCTTTTCTTTTGGCAAGAAGATGACACTAGAAAGAATTGCAATGTAGTCAAAACAAAACAAGAAAAAAGCACAGACATAGGAAAAAAACATAAATGGAACCATGTCTTCATAATGGGTAGCTCTCTTTCTCAGTGATGACTGTAACATTTTATTATCTGGTTGATTCTCAGTTTGAAATGGAACATGTGAAGTGACTGGTGCTGGGACATGCCCTTTGGTGATAATGCAATGATTTTTAGTGACTCGTTAGGACAATCACACCCAGTAAGGGACAAATTATAGAGGGAGCCGGGGGGCAAGGGAAAGA